ATAACGTAACCCGTATCCTTTCAGTGTGAGGCCACGCGTGAAATGCTAGCGGGCTAAAGGCTAGTAGCCGAGATTCGGAAGGTTGGATATAAGTAGCGATATCAAAGCAATCCAATTGTTCCCTTTCAAGGGAACTTTGAGCTGCGTTGTCAAACGCGATGGGGAACGTTCTGCGTGATTGCGTCGTGAAGCGTCTGTACAATCAGTCCAATGAGAGAGTAGGACGTCAGGTGACGTCATTGACCAGGAAACTTGAAACCACCCTTGGAATCAGACCGCTACAGCATCTGTAGTCTTCAGCAAGCGATCTCTGTACTCTGTCCTTGTCTATTTATTGTTGTTTGTCAAAGCCCAATATATGTTACTATCTATATTTATGGCAAGCAAGATTATAGACGGTGTGTGGTTCCCTGCCCTCGTTACATCACGGGTGGGGATAAAGGTGTAAGGGTGGTCTGGGGTAGGGACGGTTTTGAGAAATCGTTTCTCCTCAGTGCCCACTGCGTAAAAAGAGCTGTAATCGGGCATGTAAAACTCCTGAGTACTCCTGTGTACTCCACAAATAAACGTGTGTATACGGGAGTTTGCTGTCCCGTCACACAATCCCGAAAACTCCTGGATATGTACCAAGTTTGGGGCACAGCAGGGAGCCACTAGGGCCATCAGTTGCCATGGTGAATAATCCCCAGGTCGGAGTCAATGCAAGGGAACATTAGCATTTCACACCTTTGGGACACAAGGCAGTGGCCTCCTTCAATTGGTCAGAGATCTTACATAGGATTGGGTGCTCAATGCTTTGTCCCTCTTCTAAACCCCCACACTATTGGTCCAGTTTATGGCTTCATTTGGATTTATTATTACTCATTATTAATATTCATTGTCATTGGTGTTCATGGTTATAATGTCAAGACAATCAGATAGACAAAGTTGAGTTTATTTTTATTATTTGTAACACTGGGCACATGACATATATATTTATATACACACAGTCAAAACTCTATAAATAACAAAAAACATTAGCACAGAATACATTTCACTATTAGTCATA